AAGGATAAAGAGAACAATCATCACCTCTACGGAGTCCCAAGTACGAATACCACGCTCGACATTTCTCTGTGGCCAGCAGCTCCGCCAGCCGGATCGGCAAACCGACATGGCGCGAGCCAACCACGTAGACCCCCTCGGCAAAATAACTCCACACCAGCTTTGCTTGGCCTCATTACTCGGGCAAAGCACAGCAAAAGGTTCCTGCTGAAAGGGGGCGTGCGAGTACCGACACGATGCGACAGCTGTTTTTGGAGCTCACTGCTCACAAAGCTTCTGCACAGCTCGGGTGGAACTTGCCTAACTTGCTTCAGGGAACAGGCTCACTCGCGCCGCATATACACGACGGTAGGGACGAACTGGCACGCGGGGGACAAAACTCTTCGCCGCTTTCTTACAGGCAGCCCTTCTTCGATCAGAGAGGACTTAGATAAGTGCACACTTAACACGGAAATAAATACCTAAAAATTAGATTATTACTATTTAGCTATCAAATAATAAGCTAGTATTTTCTATTTATTTTTATATGCTTTTCATAGGGTAAAATAGCGGATAAAAGAGGTAGAGTGTAGGGGGCTAGGGAAAAGCGGCGAACAGTTTTGTCCACCGCGTGACTGGGAAGAGCAACGTCCCTATGTACGTGATAATCGGCTGGGTTGTTGAGCAAGGGCCTACTAGAGGTGACTCAGAGAGCAGGCAACACAAGCCCCAATCGGCCCTGATGCAGTGACGCCCATGTCAAGTAGACGGGGGGCCATGTTTTGCAGACTCGCATACCAAAGTTGTTGCTGCGTACATGACAGACAGGGCAAGCCTCTAGCGGTGTGTTACCGTGTGTGCACCCAGTGCCGATAAGGTCCCTGTGCAGCATCTTTCGATCCAGCCTGCACGGCAGCCGCTTCCCTTTTTTGCCCAACCGAACTCAATCTCCTTCTTCTCTTTCTTGATTCTTATGCCGAGGCGTTGCACACGACCAGGGGAAAAAGTGAGAAAAAATGGCCAAAAATATCGACGTGCAGAAAATCCCCCTGCAGGCTCCCGGACATATATGCGCCGCGTCCATGTAAACACGCCCCCGGCAAATGACCACCTTCGCCAATTTTTCGCTGAGTACTTCTGTATTATATCTGCATCATGACCAAATGATCGAAAATGGTTGAAAGCACCATCATGCCGAGCAACGTTCCTGCCCTGCTCCCCTGTTGTGCTGGCTTGGTCTTGTCTCAGTACCCGACTCCATTACTTTCTTCTTTCTTGTCCTTTTTCAGCTTCCCCGGATTTCCGGTCTTGCAATAGTGACGTCCCTTGTGCGAGGATCATTGTACACCATATTTTGCGTTGCGTGAGGAACGGGCCCATCTTCACTCTAGTCGAAACTAACAAAGAAAAAATTCCAGCAGCAAAAGTATGGACAGGCCGCCACACGCCGATCGTCAGAACCAAGGTGGCAAAACCGTGACGAGAGCCGTCGACCTCTGGCCACTCGTGCCACTGTCGCCCGGCACACCCTTTTGGGCAAGCCACTAGCAATGGTTCACCGACTTGGTGGTGTCGTGGTTTTGCGACCAAAGGCGACTAGGTGGGCGTCGTTCCTCTGTGCCAAGCGTGCGTACCTGCACGAACCAGAAGAGTTCGAAATGCGACAGCTCAGAAATATCGCCACTATTCAGGCACGTAAAAGGAACGGTTCTTTTTGTCCGTTCTTTTTTGTTTCCTGGTAGCTTACTTCCTTGTACGGATAGCAAGGGGAGCGAATGGCAGATCGCACGTCAGATCTGAGCCCCATCCCTGTTGCGGTCCCCTCCTCGAATTTATTGGTCTCTACCAAAAACCTGGGTTTCCAAACAGCTGGAAATGGGCTGGGCTGGGCTGGCCTGCAGCTCGCAAGTTTGGGGGGGTGTGGGACTTTCGCGCTGCTGGAAGCTTACAGCTAGCTAACAGGGCATACTAGCATACTGATAGTGGTACGAAGTTGCGAAGTAGACACGAACAGCAGTAAAACCCTGACCGCCCCTTTTGGATGGGGCGACTTCCACGAGTAGTTTGTGTACGGGGTACGTAGGCGGCGCAAAGGTAATTAGGCTGTCAAGTTGTCAAGGTTGTTTCGACGCGAGGGCAATCCGACCATAGGTAGGCGCAGCGACTGGAGACAAAAGGAGAAAGAAAGAGAGAGACGGAGGCAGACGAGTTCTGTCCGACCCCTCCTTTGGTCGAATGGGCGTCGTGCTTTCTGCCAAGACTTCGCTCATGCTGAAGCTCGCCGAGCGGTTTCTTTTTAGGGACCTGGGGTTCATGCTAGCAGCTCAGTGGCAGCCCTGGCAGCCTAGGAGCAGGCGTGTGCATGCTTGCCCCGGCTCATCCGTCGTCATTGTGCCTTGAAGTGACCCGCCAGGAGCCTGGTGGCTCCATTTTCAAGGGAGGGCTGTGACGGCTGTCTCCTCGTTCAGGAAGGGCTTCTGCTTGGCAGTACCACGTTGTGCCAGCTAGTTGAATTGGAGAGGGAGACTGGTTAACGTCTGAGCTGTTAGGCCTCATTCTGTCATCTTGGCCCGGAAGGGACGGACTTTGATGAGAGGCGGCCATGTCGGCATGTATTTTTCTTTTTGTAGATCGGCCTAGATCGGCTTGGATGCTGGTAATCCATGTCCACACAGAGCAGACCGATAGCAACGTTGTGCAATGTCGGCACTATTTAGTAAGTTAGTTACCCAGTCAGTCGAGCTGCAGCAGTCTTGTCCAGGTACGGAGTGCTCCATGTTTAGCAACGACTTGCCTGCAATAATGCGTGTTTGCTATAGGGCTTAGAGGGCTAACAAGGGTAATAATAAGCTAAGAAGCTGCAAGAGTACGAGGCGAATGTCTGGGGCTTTTGGTGGCAGTGGACTGAAGGCTAGTTGGAAGACAGGCCCAAATACGGATAAAAGTGAGACGTTGACGCGGCTCGCAGAAATGGTACGAGTCGATTGCTGACCATGGCTCCAACGACCTCTGTTCTTGACGGCGCTGCTACACCGCGTCTTGGTCCTCATGTGGACAGGTTGACAGCGTCGTGGCTGTCTTGGTAAGCCGGCGGGCGATGAGCTGCACATTTAGACAGCTAGAAAAGTGTAGTGTCAGTCTAGCTTTGATTAGGTGAGATAGAGCACACAAGTTATTCGATAGTTAGAAACGGCTAGCATGTCTTGCCCCTGTGTAACATGATGACCAGAGACAGTGCGAGTCGTGTTGGTGATGATGATTAGGTTAACAAACAGACATCAAGAATCTAGTTACGTCTTCAGCATCCATGATGAACAAGGCAAACGAAATAGAATTGGTAGGTAGGTGCCTAGGTACTAGCCTGACGAGGCATTACGCCACTGCAGCTTCAGCGCTGGTGGCCCTCACATCACAGCAGTGCAGCCCACTGATCATGACAACAAAGACGCCATAATCCCAGCACACCATCTTTGGCCTTGGGGAGAAAGTGTGCCTGGCCCAGCGACGCTACAGTGGGCTAGCCCCTGTAATCTAGTCCGTTGGCCACTGTAATTTTGCGCAAAAGCATTTCTTGTGGACGCCCCAAGTACCTACCTAGGTAGGTACCTGTACGACTGACTCCTTTCTTCCCTTGTCGAGCCACGCTAGATACACGGCCATCTTCATTCCACACGCCTCCGTCTTCAGCCCCTACCAGTAGGCACATTCTTTGCCCATAAGAAACAAGGGCAGGAAAAAGAAATGGAAGAAAAGAAGCAAAGAAGAAACATACACCCCTCCCCCCGGTCGACGTGTGCCCCGCACCGCAACTCGGAGGCCCGGCCGTCTTTGACTCAAAAAGGTTTTTTTCTTCGCCTGCAAATTTATTACTCTCCTGTCTTGGGCTGTCCTAACTAGAGCCACCCTCCACCACGACACCAAGTACTTCATCATCCACCACCCACATATGGATAGACAGACCTTGGCCAACTCTCTTTTTGACTACCGACCTCTGTTTGTTTTTCCTCTCCAAAACAATCTTATTTCGACCTTCATCAATTTCACGACCAACAACGACATTCTCGAATCAAACTCGCATCTGCCCCGCGGATTCCATACTTTGACTGTTTTACGCCTGTCTTTCTCGCTACCTTCACTATAGCGACGCCCCCAGAGGAAAAGTTGTGATACCGCCGCCTCAAGCCGCCGTCATCTCGACAACCAAACGGCTCTCCAAATCTGTCACTTGCGCTGCTGTACGACCTGCACGTCACGGTCTCTTTTCTGCTTCCAACCACGCCAGTCGCACCGACGAAGAAAAAGGTCCAGCTTGAACCCCCGCCCCCCTCCCGGCCTCGTCCACGTTGTATCCTCCTGGTATTCTCTACCTGCAGCTGCACGACCGCCCACGCCCACGCCCACGCACACCTCGACAACGACAGGCGCCCAATCTGCAAGCTGCACATCGCTCACCAGTTGACGTGGTCGCTGCCCTGCCCGACGACGCCTGCAGCAACAGACTCCGGCTTCCCAGATCGACGACATCCCATCCTGGTCCTCTAGCTCCCGCTCCCGCACCACGCGCGCGCCGCCACATCCTGCTGCCCTCCGCCTGCATATCTGCTTGCTGCATCTTTTTTGCCTGCATTTTTCTGCTTGCATACTCTGCGCGCGTCAAGCTTGCTAAAGCTGCTCTCCAAAAACACCAGAGCTCCAAGGACCCGCTTCCTGCTGTTACCTGTCTCTGCTTTGCGCCAGCGCAGAACTATATTCGTCCAGACACCAACCTGCAGCCCACAGCCAGCCAGCCCACGAGACACAAGAGTACACAAGCCCTCCTTCCTCCCGGTACTTATTAACCTCTCGACCTCGCTCGCTCTCGCCGCCTTGCGCAACTGTCTCGTCTTCTCTCGTCACACTCCAAAATGCACGCCGTCTCCTACACCCGCCATTCATAGATGACGACACTTGCATAGAGGCCGCCTCGCCTCCTCGTCCTCAACTCTGTGTGCCCCTGCTACCACTTCTCTGCAATCGCAGACATCATGGTCATGCTATACAAGACTGCACGACCCACGCCCACCACATTGCCCGCCAAAGACATGAGCAACATGTCGTCACTAACAGCCCAACTTCGGCGCCGGCCGAGCCCAGCCATGGTACAAACCAATGTCCAACCTCAACACTCCAACTCTCTCCCAATTTCTGCTATAAGCGCCTCTTCCATCGCCTCCTCCTCTCGCCAAGCCTCACCCACCATGTCGCCTGACACTGCTGTCCTCACCACCAATTCCTCCCTGCAGCCTTCGCCCGACGCCTTCCACACACGCCTCGACGACGACGTCTGCCCTCCCAACTTTCAGCTGCCAGACGCAATCGTCTCCCGAAAGACGAGCGTCAACTCCCTTGCCCAGAGCTGGACCGGCAATGGGAGCCCGCTGACCGAAATGCCTAGTAACGGCCCCGCCTCGCCAACTCCTGCTCCCACCAAAACCAATCTCATACGCCGCCTTTCCAGTCGCGCGTCTCGCAGCATTACAGGCCGTAGGAGGCAGTCCTCTGCTGCTGCTCCCGCTCGCGACAGCAGTGTTGGCCCATGCTTCCTACGAAGACGCTCCGATAGCAACAATGGCGCGCCCCCCGACTTTGCTCCCGCCAATACCGACTCCGAGTCCGACTTTGACGATAGAGATGAGTATGGCGCTCTGCGCACCAACAATTTCATGCTGGATGGACTCGTTCGCGATGCCCCCAAACCTCCTGCTCGCAACGCCACTTCGCCAGTTGGTGGCAGTTCGACCACCATGGCTGGCCCGGTGATTCCTCTGCAGCTCCAACAAGGTGTCTGGCTTCGCAAGATTTCCAAAAAGAGTCGTTCCAAGAGAATACGTCTCCAGTACGATCCAGACTCCAACAAGCTCGTCTGGGACAAGGCTCGACCCCAAAAGTCGCTCCACGTGGACGAGATTCGCGAGATTCGTACCGGCTCCGACATTCAGCAGTATGGTCGCGACTTCAAGATACCCGAATCTGAGCGCTCCACATGGTTCTCTATCCTCTACTCTGTTCCCGAACGCTCCAAGTCCAAGTTTATGCATCTGATTGCCGATGATACCGAGGCCTGCGACGTTTGGACCACTTTTCTGCATGCCATGCTGCGTCATCGCCAGGAGGTCATGACTTCGCTCATGTCCTTCAATGACAAGGCCATTGCCCAATATTGGCAGACCGAAATGGCCAAACAGCCAGACTTTGGCGGCGCCACCCAGGAGCTGGATCTCGCCGGTGTCAAGCGTGTCTGCCAGAATCTTCACATCTACTCATCTCCCGTTATTGTCCACGCAAATTTCCGAATCGCTGACGCCCGCGCCCGCGAGCGTCTCAACTTTGAAGAGTTTCTCGAGTTTGTTCGCCTCATGAAGCAGCGTAAGGATATCCGCTACATTATGCACTGCAATTCGGCCAACCCTGAGATGGGGATGACATTGTCAGAGTTTCTCGCTTTCCTCCGCAATGTGCAGGGTGAGGATGTTGAAGGAAACCGCGCTGCTTGGGAAAAGTCCTTTTATCGCCATGCCCGCAAGTATCGCCCAGAAAGTACCTCCGAGGGACTCGAAGATCTCATGTCAGAGGACGCTTTTGTGGCTTTTCTCAGCTCCAGGCATAACACGCCTGTCGCTGACGAGCCCCAAGACTACACCCTAGATCGGCCCATGAATGAGTACTTCATCTCCAGTTCCCATAACACATATCTACTCGGACGTCAGGTCGCCGGTAGGTCCAGTATCGAAGGTTACATCGCTGCCCTTGTACGCGGCTGCCGCTGCGTTGAGGTCGACTGCTGGGACGGTCCGGATGGTCAGCCCCAGGTTGTCCACGGCCGCACCCTCACCACTTCCATCAGTTTCAAGGAAGTCATGACCACCATCAACAAGTACGCCTTTGTCAAGTCCAACTTCCCCCTTTGGATTTCTCTTGAGGTGCACTGCAATGCTGTGCAGCAAGCTATTATGGCCGAGACCATCAAGGAGGCCTTTGGCTCCCGTCTCGTGACCGAGCCTCTGGATCCCTCTTCCAACAAGCTGCCCTCCCCCTCGGAGCTAATGGGTCGCATTCTCATCAAGGTCAAGGAGCCTCGCATGCATGATGATGGCAATATGAGCAGCGCCGCTGTAATTGCACAGGCCACCCGCGGTCGCGGCAATAGTGTCGGCTCCTCTAGCCAACCGGCTCACGTTTCTCAAAGCCCCGCGCCTTATATATCGCAATCTCTTCCTCAGAGCCCTCTTCTCAGTGGCTATCCCCGACGTGTGGCAAGCAACAGCCGTAAACGCGTGCATACCATCAGCGAAGAGACCACGCATGTGCGTGATATGAGCAGCAACAGCGATACTGAGAGCGGCAGCGATACCGGCTCTGGCAGCCCATCGGCCAATAAGACGATACCCGTCCTCGGCAGGCTTGGTGTGTACTGTGCCGGTGTCAAGTTTCCTGGCTTTGATACTCCCGCTGCTAAGAAGTTTAATCACATCTTTTCCTTCATGGAGTCGAGCTTCTCGAAGAACTCGCGCTCCAAGGAGGACAAGATGTCACTAAACATTCACAACATGCGTTACCTGATGCGTGTCTATCCCGACGGCACCCGCCTGGCCTCAAGCAATTTTGATCCCCTCATCTACTGGCGACGCGGTGTCCAGATGGCTGCTCTCAACTGGCAGACATTCGACCTGGGTATGCAGCTCAACCGTGCCATGTTTGACGGCGGCCAGGATTCGTCCGGTTACGTGCTAAAGCCACCGGAGCTGCGTGACATTCAGGTTCTCCCCTACAACTCGGACATTGCCCGTGGCAAAAAGGAGCGCTCCGTCGTCTCCTTTTCAGTTGACATGCTTTCCGCCCAGCAGCTGATGCGGCCCGCCAACCTCTCTGCCAGCAAGTCGATGGACTTTTACGTCGAAGTAGAAGTTTTCCACGCCAACGACAAGCGCGACAAGAAGGAAGGGCACTTTGACGGCGACAACGGGACAGATACGCCTCTCAAATTCCAGACGGAAGTCATTCGCGAGAATGGCTTCTCGCCCATGTTCATGTCGGGTCAGTTCAAGTTCAAGGTTGTGACTAAGCACCCCGAGCTGGTCTTTGTACGCTGGTCGGTCAAGCTGTCCAATGATGGCGAGAGCTACAGCACCAAGGACCGCCCGCCGATTGCGAGCTACACGGCCAAGCTGCGCAACCTCAAGGAAGGCTTCCGCACGCTGCCGCTGCTCAACCACGCAGGCGACCAGTACCTCTTCTCAACGCTGTTTTGCCGCATCCAGATTGACGAGATTGAGAAGACGCTCATTGACGCGCCCCGTTCGCCGTCCGACGGCAGCAAGCTGAACCGTTTCGGCGGCAAGGTCTTTGGGCGCAGCAACACGAGCCCGCGAGGCACTATTGAAAAGGCGAATGTGGAAAAGACGAGCTTTGAGAGCTACGCTTAACCGCACCGTTTTTGAAAAACGATATACTGCTAGCAGTGCTAGCCAAGTGATATTGAATATCACTCTTCCCTATCTCTTTCCTTCTTTGTTTTTCTCGAGCTTGACTCGAGAGAGGATTTGTATTGATGGATATACATTTTTCTGAAACTGGCTATTTTCCTTTGTTTTTTTCTTGCATAACAATCACATCACCACTAGTTGGGAAACAAAATACCCCCCGTTGTTTGTCCTTTTTCCTTATTCCTGTTCAGAGCGAGAGATTGCACTAAAACCAGTGCAGAATTTGGTCCTTTTTCGTTTCTTTTGGGGGTTTTCTTCTACTATGGCTTGCCAGGCAAGTCCAGAAAGTGTCAAACTTGCACACACTGCATATTCTAGCATATCTTATGGGCGGCGGGTGGGGTCAAAACTTTTTACACGCATATCCCAGTTTCGGAGAGAATGGAATGGCATCTGGGATCTGATAGAGAACGCACAATGGAATTTTGGACAAGAAAATATCTTGTATTTTGAGCTTTTACTTTTGCCTTTTCTGCTATGCGTTGCTTGATGATATGATGACGACTATTTTTGGCGATTTCTCTTTTTCTTCTTTTCTTTTTCTAGGGCGGTTATGACTTGGCCGGTGGGAAAACATGCTAAATATTTGGTCTTGTATCCTGGCACAGATTGGTTTCGGACACTTTGTAGATATATACACATGACATCGTTGATTCTTCAATAAACATGGGCATTACATGACCCCCCTCGCACTACCCAATAGCCTCATAGCAATCGCTGCCAACATGACATGCCAAGCTAAAAATAAGCAACAAAATGCTTGAATCAAATGCCCGCCCATCTTCGCATCGTAGTATACAACGCCGAGTTTGAATCCTTCTAATCTACACCTTCGTCCTCGTAGCCCGCGCTCCGACTATCCTGCTTCGGTGTCTGGCCACCACTGCCTCCACTTCCGCCTCGCAGCATGCCGCTCGCGCCGCCGCGGCCCCAGTTGCTGCTGCTGTTGCTATTCATGCGCGTTGAGCCCGCGCCATTCGGCCGGTGCTTCTGCTGCGGCTCGTCATCGAAATCAATAATGTCATTGTCAATGTCTTGGAGCTCCTGCTCAATGGTGCGTCCGCGGGGGCTCAGACGCTGCAGCGGAACGGTATTTTCGTTGCCGTTAGGATGGGGGTCCGCGTACATGATTGGATCGCGACCGAGCAGACGATCCGCTTTGCTAGGCGTTTGACGCTGTTGCTGCTGCTGTTGTTGTTGCTGCTGCTGACCGTAGTAAGACGGCGGCTCCGGGGGCGGCCCGGCCTCGCCCCAGCCGGCGTTGATTTCGCGCTGGCGTTGGCGCTCGCGCTCGACGCGCACGCGGTCGCAGGCCTCCAGCCACTTAGGGCTCGCTTCCCATGCCCAGCCATCGCCGGTGGTGTTGCAGATGGGGATGAACCACAGCGCGGGCCGCGGACCGAGCAGGTGCGTCATGTTCTTCCGCCAGCCGAGATCGAACGCGCTGGGCAGCTTCTCGGCGTCCTGCTCATCGAGGTAATCTTCGTAACGGCGGCGGCTCTGGTCGCGCTCGAGCTCGGCATACGAGCGCTGCGCGGACGGGCGTTGCTGGGTGGCGTCTGGCCGGTCCTGCGCCCAGCGCTGATCTTCACCCTCTTCAGGCGCGGTGATGCCCGGCAGCGCCGCGGTGTGGAAGTCGACAATCTGCTGCGCAACGGGGTGAAACTGGTGCCGCGGATCGTGGGTGAGGTTGTAGGAGCGCCGTAGCGGCGAAAGGTAGCGCGTCTTTTCGAGACACTCAATCGTCGTCTGACCGCGCATGGAGAGCATGATATGCCATCCGGTGAAGATGCAGAGCACGATGCCAATGATGCCGCTCATGACGGCAAGCATGATGTAGTTGACGGGCATAAGGTTGTCGACCTCTTCGGTGATGCCGCTGATAATCTGCGTCCACACCCAGGCACCGCTAACGGCAAACGAGTAAAAGCACAGTAGCGTCGTGTAGCAGAGGAAGAGCAAAAAGGCCTTGTAGTTGCGCAGGCCGACGCACGTCGCCAGCCACGGGCAGTGATGGTCCATCTTTAGGACACATCGCTTGCAGGTGGAGCAGTGATGCGCGCGGTCGGGCTTGCGCGCCTGACACTTCTTGCAGAACCGCAACTCACCGTTGCTCTTGACGGTAAAGGATGTTGCGGGGCGATTGGTCTGGGCCGTCGGCAGCATGCCGTAACCATCGGTCGTTGTGGTCGAGCCGGGGGGCGTGAAGACGGCGACGGTGTAGCACCAGTTGGCGAGGAGGTAGATGGCAATCCCAACAGCGGAAGATGTTTTGCCTTGAGAAACGAAGTCAGCATCGGGAGAGACCTTGTGTGCGCCTTGTCTGGAGGCTGTTGACGGAGCTTGCGTACCTAGCCATGCGATGCTTGTGTCTTCGTTGCCAATGTTGACAACCGTCACGACAGCCCACGTCGTGAGGCCATAGACAAAGAGCAGCGGGAAGTACCTGACGATGGAGCAGCATGTGCGCTCAAACCGGCGCGCCCATCGCCGGGCCATTCTGTCGTCGCCGAGGCGCCCGGGGGCCTCGAGAGTATGCTCAGACTCGGAATCCAATGTGTCGGTGCGTTCGACGCCTTATTGTTGCTTCATGGATCTGATTTGCGCCGCTAATATACGAGCCTCTGTTCGGAAATTCGGGCTCCAGCTCTGTCTGGTTCCTGGTAGGTGCTTGGGCAATGTCGCATGTTACAAACGTGTTTGGTCCAAGTTGCGGGTGAGGCAGCACAGCTTAGGTCATCAGGGGCGAAGTGGTGCTGCGCCGTGCTGCGCCTACGAGACGATGAGTTACAGCCTGAGCTTGGCGCCAATTGCGCGTTACGCTGACTGACTGCCATATGCTGAAACTTGTGCAATACTTATTGGCCAATGAAACGCGCCTCGATGAAGAGGTTGGATCTTAAGCTATGTGACTTTCGACTTTTCTTGCTTCTTTTACCTCATTCATTTGTTCGCCCTGACAGCAACATTTCATTTGACCTGACTCGGAACCACTACACATGTGTAGGGTGTGGCCCAGCCTGCCCAGCTAGCCCACAGAACCTACAGAATACATCATCACTTATCCCTGACCACATGGATGATAAAATCGTCGGAAACCCCCCTCACCAGAAAATTTTCTTGATCGCATCCTTGTCCACATTGTACTTGATAGCATCATTCCCACCACTTGTGTCAGCTTGGACAATCCCTCCAGTAAGTTGGTCCAGGAATGCGCCGTACTGTTCAGTCTCTCGAATGCGACAGTACCCGGGAGACTCGGCATGGTACGTGATTGCCTCTACCGACTTAAAGATGCGCAAACATTTTGGGCATTGATAAGACTTGTCACCATGAGCAGGTGATTTTAAGTGTTTGATGATCATTGCTTTGCTGTCAAAGTATTTCCTAACACAGTCGTCAGTCTTCTCGTGCGCATCACCTTGGAGCTGTTCCTACCCGCATCCTAGCTTGGGACAGACATATTTGTTGATGATAGTGCAGAAGTAAGCAGATGCACTAAAGTATGGGTGGTCCGGGTCGTCCAGATCCATCGACTCTGCCAACGACTTGGGCGCCGGCTGGGTTGCCGCCGCAAGTTGTTCAGTGGATGGTGTGACGCGCCGCTTTATGCGATCTTTTTGAAATGCGGCCTGAATGTCCTTGCCCCCCCAGGCGCCTTGCCACTTAGCTGCCAAAAGATTTGTGGATGATTTGGGGGGCGAAGCGTTTCTTCCAAGGTTTCCTTCGCAAGCTTCTGCTGCAGTTTGCCATTTGGCTGCAAGTCGATGGTCTGATGACATATCAATGAGCAAGCTTTCGTCCCCGTCTGTATCGGCCACCATTTTCTTATCCGCGGATTCGATCTGTCGGCTTTCAATATGTATGGAAAGTAACCTCTTGGCGAAATTGTCTACCTGTACTTGTGTTTTGGGGACTCTCGATGACTGGAGCTCGTGCTTTGGCAGCATCTGACCCTCGTCTTTCTGTGGTACCTGAAGCTCCTTCCTTGGGAGCTCCGGGAAACTTTCCTCTGAAAGTTCGCCAGGCGTCTCCGCGCTGGGCGCTTCCACAACATCAGCCCATCGAGGAACATGTATTGCGGACATGTAATTGGCGAAGTTTCCCTTGATCGGCTCGTCCGATCGCTTTGCGAGCTCTCTGTGAAAATCAAGCTTTGTCTCTCTCAGCATATTCAGGTCGTTGGAGCTGATACGCGTGCACTGGCCTCGCTCTATATGTGCTACTAGCAATCCGACTCGGGCAAAAGGTCCACGCCCGCAACCTGGACAGTGAAGGTTATGGGCCGGCTCGTGGGACTATAAAGTTCGAAGTAAGTAGGATAGAAAAGCGTACCGGGGGTGTCGATTGGCGAATGCGTACCCGTTGGACATGCAGAAGTTCGCTCCTGGCCACCTCGAAGACCTCTCCACAGAATGAACAGCTGTTGTGATCCTGCCTGCCTTTATCACGCATTGCGCATTTGTGATTCCACAGCAGGTTCCAAGAGGGAAATACAAGCTTGCAGGGTCGACAGCGGAATTCAGCAGCTGGCGCAGATGAGTCCATGATTGCGGTACTCTTTAATTGACCCTAATTGACTCTTCGAGGAGATCAACAATAGAGAAGCAGACGTTTAGTGTGGGCAACGTTTGCTCGTGCCTGCCAGCTGGCAAGGGGGAATCGACTGGCAGCCGACAGCTGGCATTCATGCAAACGGAAAAGCCAATTATTCACCTACTCTAAGTCAGGGTATACGTCCTCCGCATAATCTGCATCACTCAAGCGGCCTCCGCTAAATTCGTAATTATACGGGGCACTGTACTCCGGACCAAGATAATCATGGCCGCTGTACTCATCTGCCAATTGATCCAGCTGATGGTCCTCTATCTCAGAGCCACTGTCATTCTCCTCGTTGCTGTCACCGGCCGAATCCTCATCATTTTCCATGGCTTCCATCGGAGCTCTACTTGGCGAGCTTGCTACCGACGTAGGATCATCCGTTGTTGACGCCGCTTGACGGCCAAGCAGCCTAACATTGTAACCCTGACTCTTCTTCTTTGGTGGTTTGCGGCCACGCAGCGCTATGAGCTCCTCGTCTGTAAGGCGCAGATTTGGCAGCGGCAGATGCAAGTTGGTCGACGTTGACCTTGGCGGCGTCATGTCACCAAACTGCAGTGTGGGGACGAAATCTGCCCGTGTCAACTGTCTGCCGAATCGAATAGCTACCAGCTTTGTCTTCATAATGGCCTTGACCTTGGCCCACAACCCGCCATGGTACCAACCACTGCTGATGTCCCATGCTGAACGTACTGCTGCTCCATCGAGCAGCTCGCGTAGGAGAGGGTCGGTAATGTCACACACTTGCCAGACCTTGCCATCTGTGTCATATGTTTCACCATCGAAAATATGGCTGGTAACTCCTGCGGGTACCTGACGTTCCTCAATCTTTTCGGGACGGCGGTACGTGCGTACGGCCGCAGGGCCTAAAGGGCGCTTGTGTTTGGTCAATTTGAACATGAGTGTCTGGTATTCTCGATATTTGGGATGCGTTCGCGGGTCAAGACCGTAAGGCACGACACAATCTCGCCATGGGCCGCCCTTGAATTGGTAGGCAGCGTAGTTCAGATATTTCTTGAGCTCATTCCAGCTGTCCAGCTTCTTCCCAAGATGGTTTAGTAATGAACGTCGTGTCCAGATAGGCCGATCCTCGAACGCAGCCTCCAAGTCTGCCAAAACCTCCATGAACCGTGCATCCGTTACATCCGGGGGCTCCTGAGGGCCAGTAGGCGTAGGTTCGTCAGCGCTGATAAAGTACCCGACTTGTTTAACAGCGGTCACATTGACTGTGCCACCATCTGCAGTGGTGCGAACATATGGGTTCTGGGAGTAGAAATAGTTGAATGGAAGGCTCATGTGTGTGAATAGCGGCGGCGGTATCACGTCAGAATTTCTGCTCTTGTCGATGCCTGGCTCTAAGGTGAAGGCTCTCATCTTTTCGACTATATTCTGATTTAGTAGCGGTTACAGGAGTGAAACGTAGGAACTGACCATCTCCAGAAAAGACTTGGTCTATATATCGGTTCGTAAACGACGACGTAGACATATCCCAGTAAAAGTCGGCGAAACCACGGAATCTATGAGTGTGATTGATGACACCCACAGCATCGACCTTGTAGCGGCCAACGTTGTCTTGAAGTTTTCGCTTGAGGACCTTAGGCTCGTCCTGGCGAGCGATAGAGCAAACGGGGTTTGCTTGATCGGCATCGCAGATCTCCTGATCTCCTTCCCAGGCCGTCGAAGAACCACGCTTTCTCTTCCTCCCGGTACGCTTCGGAAGAATGATTTTCAGGACAACGTTGTGTGAGGCTGCATTGTGTGACATGATGGGGTTGCAGAATGGGCTCTCGGGGTTCAGATAGAGAGGCACCGAGTTACGTTGAGGGTCTAAAACCTGAAGCTCTCATTAGCGCGGGCACACGGAGAACAACCGAGAATCTTACATGCTCAAAAGATGGTACACGACCAAAAGCACTGATGGCACGATCGATATTCTGCACCACTGCGGGAATCTCTACGGCTGCAATCTTTCTATTAGGTATGATGTAGATTGGCGCATTTTGAGATGATGCATCCCGAGTCGAGCTAGGCCCCGGTACTGTCGAGTCTAGTACGGAATAATCTGAGGCAGAGGCCTCTTTACCATTTCCAGGATGAGAAGTCATTGTAACGGATATTGGAGTCTGGTGATAACGGAGACAGTTACTGATGGCTAAATCCTTACGCCACGAAAACTTTTTGACTCGTGATTGTCGTGGTTCGACACCATGGAAGACGCCCCGAAGAGAAACAAAGGCTGGTGAAAAGCGTCGAGGGTCTTTGCCCGGCCGTCTACTGAACAGCGTGCAATGGTTGAACTGGCCCTTTACAACGATGTGTTCTATGGCGGTTAATATGGTGAGTGTAGAGCTGAAGCTTGGACATGTGTAGAAACTGTGCTTATACTGTATGGAGAACTGTACTGAGTCTAGCGCTTGGCGCAAAACAACAACAAGCCGTCGGTCGGGCTTGGTGTGGAGGACGGGCGGCACTTGATTGAGCGCGAACGTGATTGGCCCGGGCTCAGCCTGCCGAATACGTTGATAAATCAAAGGTATTGGCTGGCATCTGAGGCAAAAGACAACATTGGACAACTGACATTCATCATCCGTCAGTGCGGCTCTGTAACATCTTGTGGTGCTTGTTTGAAGTTATCGCTCATATGGCAATCAGGTACCATATGTCTAGGAAATCCGCCTGGTTCAACCTCTACGAATACTCAGAGTCGAAATGTCGGATGGGCGATGAGATTCCACTACAGCAAGATAGATGAATGACCTCGTTTCATTGATCTGTCTTGTAACTTATGGTGCGGTCGTCTTCTTTGTTGATGTGGACAGCCCACTTGTATTTGATGTCAAGTTGTATCCGTAGTGACAACTCTGCTTTCTGTGGTTGCTCTGTGATTTATTTCTAGCACGAATAGCTAGCCCCTCATACCTACAAGGCAAGAGTAGCTCCAGCGCTGTAGCCTCATGTTTGATTTGCAGACTTTATTAGACTCTCACTTGCTGTGCCTGGGCAAGAATCCAGAGTGCCAGGCAAGGTACCTTGGCAACTTGGTACCCAAGTACTCAGGTACAAACAAAAGGCTCTAGCGCATTTCCCCGCCTCAAAACTCTAGCACTGAAATGAGCACTCCCAGCTCTGCTCTACAGTCTGGCGCGCCTCTGGTACCTCTGTTAGCACAGCTTCCATCATCAAACCGCCCAGTAACCTCATCCTCACCGCCCGCCTAGCACCCGCTACCACCAAACGGCAACAACCGCACCGTGCTATCTCGACTCCGCGCTGCATCAACACCACTCTGCTGTTCAGTCCTCTCCTCCTCACGGCCGGCGCGCCCTTCATCTTCAATCCCCCTCCCTGCATCTCCAGCTCGCCCTTCTACTTGCATTTCCTCGCGCATGAGCCTGTTCCTTGATCCCATCGCCGCCTGACCACCAAGCAAGCCCCAGCCGTCATTCTCTCCGCGCGTTCGAGCCCCCTGACTGCCGCCATCGCGTCGAGCCGCCATCGAGCTCATCCCCACGCCCCGACACTGCTAGCCCATACCGTCACCTGCAACCGACAGTCCTAATCTATACCGGTGCACTTGTTCTCTAGCGCTCGTGACGCGCTCTCTTTTGGTTGGCACCGCTGTCCTCGCAGCACCGCCGCGCTGTCGCCCTACCCCGCCAGAGCCACGACCGTGCCACCCGATAGTACATGGGCGAACAACTTCAAGACAGAATGAAGCGCTTTAGCCAGAAAGTCGTACGTCATGTTTCCTCTGGCGTCCCCTCGCTTGACACGCCAAGCTAACTTTTCTAGCTCTCTCGAGGCAAGGACTCCACAAAGTCGTCCAAAAAGAATAAGGACAACAAGGATGGCACCGCCTCTCCTTCGGCGCGAGATGCATCTACCCAGTCACCTACGCTGACTCCTACCTCCTCGACGACAGCCGTCAATGACATTCGCAACAAGCCTTTGCCGCCCAATTCCACAGACAGCCTGGGCCAGGGTGCAGGCAGCGACAGGTTCGGGGCCATGGGCGCCAACTCGAGCCCAAATGGCAACTCCAGAATGCCTCCCACGGTCGTCATCAGCCCAACTCCCGGCGTGAGTGCTATTCTCTAGCTCCAAAGGGCCCATCGATAGAAGCTAACTGCTCTCAAAACAGCATGTCCCGCCCCCCGGCGCCGCCGAAACGATGCCGCACGACCTCGCGCCTCCCAAGCCTGGCCAAAAGTCGCTCATGATTCATCGCGGAATAGATAATCGCGATGCCATTCCTGAGGGCCTTCGCACCCCCAAGAGGCAGCACTCTTCGCGATTCGATATCTCCACCAATAGAGATCTCGAAAAGCTGCCTGGGTTCCACGAAGTTCCTCCAAACAGGCGTCAGGAGCTCTTCATGCAAAAGATTGATCAGTGCAACGTCATCTTCGACTTCAACGATGCCAGTGGCGACATGAAGGCAAAGGAAATTAAGCGACTGGCTTTGCACGAGCTGCTTGACTACGTCGCTAACAACCGACAAGTCATCACCGAGCCCATGTACCCCAAAGTGGTCGACATGTTTAGCAAAAATCTTTTCCGACCCATTCCGCCCCCAATGAACCCCCAGGGCGAGCCGTTCGACCCGGAAGAGGACGAGCCTGTGCTTGAGGTTGCCTGGCCCCATATTCAAGTCGTCTACGAGTTCTTCTTGCGCTTCATCGAGAGCCAGGATTTCAACACAAATATTGCCAAGGCCTACATCGACCACAGCTTTGTTCTCCAACTGCTCGACCTCTTCGACTCGGAGGACCCTCGTGAACGTGATTTTCTCAAGACTACTCTCCATAGAATCTATGGAAAATTCCTGAACCTGCGATCATTTATTCGCCGATCCATCAACAATGTCTTTTTCCAATTCACCTACGAAACGGAGAGATTCAATGGTATCGCCGAGCTCTTGGAGATTCTGGGATCCATCATCAATGGCTTTGCGCTACCTCTGAAGGAGGAACACAAGATCTTTTTGACTCGTGTTCTCCTTCCCCTGCACAAACCCAGGAGTCTGAGCATGTACCACCCTCAGCTCGCATATTGCATTGTGCAATTCCTAGAAAAGGACGCGTCCCTGACAGAAGATGTGAGTATCCTTTCTGCACACCAATCAGGCAGTTACTAACTGTATAGGTTGTCCTGGGACTTCTCCGCTACTGGCCGAAAGTAAACAGCACAAAGGAAGTCATGTTCCTAAACGAAGTCGAGGACATCTTCGAGGTCATGGATCCTGCCGAGTTTGCCAAGGTGCAAGAACCACTTTTCCACCAGCTAGCCAAGTCAGTGGCCAGTCCGCATTTCCAGGTCGCCGAGCGCGCGCTTTACTTCTGGAACAACGAATACTTCTGCAACCTGGTTAGCGACAATGTTGAAATCATTCTGCCCATCATGTTTGCGCCACTCTATGAGAACTCCAAGGGCCATTGGAACAGGTTAGTTGGCAGTCGTGTCTTGTGTGTTGCTTGGCTAATGTGGGTAGAACAATTCATGGCATGGTTTACAACGCCATGAAACTCTTCATGGAGATTAACCCGCAGCTTTTTGACGACTGCTCTCACGAGTACACCGAGCACCAAAACAGTGCTGCCGAGCGCGAAGCTCGGCGTGAGCGCAAATGGGCGGCCCTTGGAGAGCAGGCCGAACTTCGTCGTAACTCCATGTCCTCGGACATGGTCGAGCCCCCGCAAAGAACACAAGTCAATGCGATGCCTCGCGTCGACGAGGCAGACATAGGCACAGATGACAGTCAGAAACGATTGGACTCGCTACGACTACAGGACCAGTCTGGACGCCGACCCAGTGTTCACGAACGTCAAGGGTCAACCGGCTCAACGCGCAGTCGGTGAGGAGATGGCAGTGATGGGCTGCGCATAGTGCTGTAGCTCTGCGATAATATACAATCGACCAAATATGTGATCAGTTTTGATACTCTGCATCGTGGGCTCCCTCATAGCCAGCTCAACGTACGGCGCGCCGTTTTGCTATTTACGATGCGAAGAGTCGCAGCTTTGTTTTCTCTTGAGTACCTGCATATTGAAGTATCTGGTCCCGTTGACCAGCTGGCGAGGAGAGGACCTCAGTGAAGAGAGAAAGTGGTTTTTGACTACGTTGTGGCTTCGTTTTTTGTGGGAAAGGGAAAGGCGGAGGATTTTGCAACTGGCGCACAAGGGGATAAAAAATTTTACCGCACGTTGAAAGGGCAGGACGAATAAGAGACAAGAGCGCGTTGAAAGAAAGCAAAGGGCATCTGCAAGAGGAAACACGCGTTTGCGGACATTACTGCGCAGTGGCTAGACACTATTGGGAAAACATATTTACCGTTTGTCAATCTTCGTCCTTGTCCCTGTCTTTGCTCCTGTCTCGTATTGACGGTTACAGCATTTTTCAAGTGCCATGCTTGATTGTCGTTTGATCTGTGGATGGGACGGGGAGGGTAAGAGAGAAACGGAACGGGATTCAACATGGCAGAACACGGTCGTTCTGATCTTGGCTGGTCTTTTTTTGCGTAATGTAGATGATGACAAGGACACGCTGGCAGGAACTTTCCTTTTCACTTTTTATTACATTTTCATTATTTTCTGTTGACCAAAAGAATAGATTCTTCTTTCCTTTTATATGCCGATAAGTCAATTCGCAATACTATACGTGAATTTGTGCCTTGTCCGTCCATGTCCCTATTTGCCTATCTCCCTCGGCCCCGATCAAACCCTCCTCTGCCATGTTGATTATTGCTGTATCCACCTCTTCTATTGTGAAAGTTACCCTGCTGAAACCCATTACTATGATTATATCCTCCCTGGTACCCTTGTGGCGGCGGCGGCGGTGGCGGCGGTAGTTGAGGAAGAAGCCCTTGGCTGGCGGACCATGCAGCCATCATCTGGCTCATCACGGCTGGATCTGCCGCCCAATTCGGCACACCTGGTGGCAGATGCGGCGGCGGCGGCGGCGGCGGCGGCGGCCACTGCCCTAGAAAGCCAGCCGGAGGAGGAGGCGCCGGCGCCGGCGGCAGCCCTCCCGAGCCCCCTGGAAGAGGTATATTGATGTGCGCGCGTGGAGGGGACCGCCTGTAGCGCCCATCAGGACTCGCGCTCCGACTCCGGCTTCTTGCACGCGGGGAGGGCGTGCGACTGCGTGAGTCGGACGAGTATCGGCGGGGACGCTTGCGCGACGGTGATGGCGAGCGTGACTGTGATGACACCGATCGCGAGTATGAGCGGCCGCGGGAGTAGCTGCGTGGTGTCTGTGTCCGCCTCGCCCTCATCTTTGTGCAAAATGGGCGCGACCAGCCATAGTACGTATCCGCATGGAGCACGTCGCCGGTGGCTTGGTCCAGAACAAAACGCTCCCCCAGCTCGTTGATGTCTTCGAGATCACCGCTACCGTCGTCGGCAGAAATCTCGTTGCCGCTGCCATATATGCGATCCGCGCTGCGGAGGAGCTTCTTGACGGCGTCGACGAGGACGCCGTCTGCGGGCCCTGCGGCCAACTGAATCGGGCGGATGCGGTCCGGCACCATGGGCCGCGCCGAATTTGGCGTCAGGTGCGGGAGCCAGGTACCCACGGGAAGATCGTACCACGGTGTGGAGGTGTCGCCGTGGGAGTAGGGCAGCATGTATGGCGTGTCCTTGGCAAGTTTGAAGGACGCCGTTTGCGGCGCCGCGTCAGCCTGCGATGCAGGAGCGGAAACGTTGCCGTTCTTGGACACGGCGTCGCGGAGCTGTGACAATAGGTCCACAGCAAAATACTGCTTCTCGGACCATAAAGAGATGAGAGTGTCGAGCTTGGCCTTGTGTTTAGGGCACTTGTCAAAGGAGGCTGCCGCGGCAACGAGCGTCACAAGGTGGGCGGCCCATGCGTCGGCGCAGACGCGATTGTTCATCCTCGCAGCGTGGTGCAACGCGTCGCTGAGGATGTAGAGAATGTGCATACGTTTGCGCTTGAGACTCGGACGCGGGGCACTGTCGGTCGAGAAGCCTCTGGACAGGGCGGCGAGGTACTTGGCGAGGTTGGCGCAGCGCGCTGTCGAGGATGCGACGTTGGTCATGATCCAGTCTTTGCAGCTCTGCGAATGGTGTGGCAAATGAGTTTTTAGTGATCGAAGCAATCAAAAAGGCAGTGGGGGTTGGCATAGCGGAGAGGAAACCCGGCAAATGCGTGTGCCACCCGGTGAAGCTTCAAACCTGAACATTGTGTCGCGAGCACTGAGCGATGGCGGCGTCGAGCAGCGGAAAAAGCGCGTCGACGTCGGGGCGCGAGAGGGAGACGGGGTCAGCCTTGAAGAGAGCGGCGGAGAGCGCAGCCTTGGCGATGGCTAGCTCGGGCGATGCCATGATGGAAGAGCCGCGGTTAGGGCGATTAAAGGTGGTGGTCGGCAGTATCTAGATGATGAAGATGCGATGAAGCTCTGTTGGCTGGTGTAAACTTGTGGAGGCGATTTGTGGCGGCAGAGCCTCGGCGTGGTGGGGCCAAGATGTAATAATGGCCTGATTTTGGCAAAAGTTGAAGAGGAAAGCATAGATGGACAGCTCTTTTTTGCGCAGTCTGAATAGGGGCAATTGGTCATATATTTCATTAATAGGTTTTTTAATTGTACAGGTATTGAAAATTGTGGCGGGGGGATTCTCGAATTAGATCTTGTGGAAAGGATGCCGTGTTCCATGACGTCTTATTCCTCGCCTGTATTTGCGCTCACGAGAAGCGGTCGCCTTTGCGGCTGCGGTAGCCAACTTTGCTCTCGTACGGACTGATGTCTTCCTTTTCGCGCTTGGCAGCCGAATTGATGCCCAGGTCTTGTCCGGCGGGCGAGGGATCGTTGCTGGACGACTCGGCGCTGGGGGAGCCGGCATTGTCGGGCCTGGAGGGAGCGTCGGCGCTGCTGCTGGGTACCATGGGTTGGGAGGGTCCATACTCCAAGGCGCGGATATCTTGACGCTTCTGGCGATGGGCTTCGAGCTTAGCCTTTCGGTCGGCGTTGATTTCACGTTTGGCAAAGTAGTAGGCGCCGGCGCCAGCTGGTCATGGTCAGCAGATGCGACAGAGATGGAAGGGCGGACAGGGTCGTACCAACACAGAGAGAGCCCCAGCCGAGCCTATATGGTGTATTGTTAGCTTGGGTCGAATTGAGGTGAGAGGCGCGGCGTGGAAATGCGAACCAGAAGGATTTCACCTGGGAGAGTTAGCAAGGTCCAAAGATTGGTGAAAAATGGAGGCATACCGTGTTCATTTTGAATCGTATCTAGTGTGCCGATATGACTGATTCCCTGATATTTTTGGCAAAAGGGCAGTGCGAAACACAGGAGGAGAGGGAGAGCGGCAATGGCAGCGCTTGAAGGTGAAGGTGGGAAGTAGGTAGTCAATGAAGATGATAAAGTACCTATGTCGTGGTAATGATAAGGCAAAGTATGTACGGATAAGGCGAAGCGGGTATCGACGTTTACAGTGTCTTGAGCTAAGTAGAGTTTAGCGCAGCTGGTCCCTGCAGCGGCACCAGATGGCTGTCACGGAGTGATGTCTGCAGTCAGTACAACTGTGATTTACTAGGTAGGTAAAGGTACCTTAGCGCTTTGTTGTAGCTGCAACAGGGCGTTAATGGGAGATGCTAAGGTGCCTTGGAAGCCTGAACCTGGGCACACCCGAAAACTCCCTAGTATTTCCAAACTACAGGTATAGACATGGTTAAGAATGGAGTATATCTACCTAGTATACAGAAGATGAATATATTATGCACCGCCCCTACTGCCGCAATCATGCTCAGAGTGTGCCAGCCGGTACGACTTATCTCGTATTTATCTTGGACCCGTCATCCACTGTAAACAGAACCCATCGCCAACCGCTAGGTATTTCATGCCCCGCAGGTACCTACCTAGGTACCATGCAACAGCTTCTAATAATACCTAGGTATTTGTCTGGCGAGGCGTTTTGGGCTCATGCCTTTGTATGTTTACATCTAAGTAGAAATCCTGTATGAAATATGCATGGAAATACTCATCTTGTCAGCAGAGCCAATCGAGAAAACAGCCCTTGTACGGAGGAGCCATCCATGCCCTGAACAAGTCACAGCCGCAGCCGTACCTGTGTCAAGCGACTCAAGCCGCAGCCTCCTCCGTGGGGCTTCATTCTGTGGCAACCGCCCATCTCTCTCTGTCTCAAAGACACGCAATTACTCGACACGTCTCTCCTGTGCCACATCAAATTGGCATGAACCCTGGATCAATCCCACGCCTCTAACTTTCCCGCCAACAACGCCAATCTACGCCTCCGCAAATTTCCTTGACATTCTCCCCTGGACGCGCGCGCTCTACTCGACTCTTCGCTCCCTTCATCTTGTCCAGTACATCGTTCTCGTTTAGCCACCACCTTTGCCTTCGCCCTCGCGCTCGCTGTCTTTCTTGTCCTCGTCCTCTTTCTCTCGACCGCAACACCACCCTTCGACACTTTCTTACACCCCTTGATGCTCGCGCAATTCAACGACAGTCCCTTCTCTGCTGGGGGACATTGAGCTTGCACCCCACAGCTGCGGCCTGTTCCAATCGCTCACCATGGAACCCCCCGCAGACAAGACAGATGGCTCGTCCATCGTGGGTGCTCTTATGTCTCCAGGGCATGTCCACGCAGCTAACCTTTTGTAGAAGCCAGTCTCGTCTTTGCTCGCCCGTTTTGAGAGCATGAATCAAGCTTCACCCCAGCCCAACTCGACCATTTCACGATCACCTGCCCCGAAACCCGAGCGCCTACGCAATTTCAAGACGACTGGCGATGCAGCAGTTGCGCCGGTCACTCCGACAAAAAATTCTATACCCAAAGAAAAGCCACCCGTCAAGCCCAAGCCTCAACACGGCACAGCTCTGGCTGCACAGCAAAAACGACCAGCTCTCGACGAGTCCGTCCTTCTTCCACCTCCCGTTACCATCCAACCACCTCAGTCGCCCCCTCAACAAAGCCGACAGCAGACTATACGCGGCGACCAATCCCCATTTCTCGACCCCTCGACCGCCATATCCCATCCATTCACCTCTTCGAAACCCTCCAGCGCGGCATCAAGTCGACCACTAACACCCACACATGGCGTCCCTCCGCCACGATCGCCGCGCCTTCCTGGCTCCAAGCCACCCTCACCACCTCCACCCAGACGGACAGGCGAAAGCCGACGCGACAAGGAAGCCCGTGCTTTGACGCCTGTGACTACTGGCCGCTCAGAAAAGCGAGTGAGCGCATACTTACCCCCGGCAGCATTTCCGCAACGGCAAGAGTCACTACCAAGAAGCATATCGACAAGAGATCCGTCACCCTTCACGAGCCCTCCGTCGTCAAACTCAGGTTCTGACGACGAATCGCCTCCCCAACTACCTACACGGCCCAATCGCGCCGCCAACAATGCTGTAGCCAGACTAACTCACGGAGCAACCAGCTTTCAGCCACCCACTGCCCATAACAGCTTGGCCGACAACAGACGAAATCACACTAATGGCACCGGAGACTCGCACAGAGCCCTACATAACGACCCATGTGCTGATGAGCCCCCGCCACCATTGCCTGTGCGACGCCCTACTCAAGAGATGCCGAGCAAGACGGTTATGACTCGCGACATGGCCCCGCCCTCTCGTCCGGTACGAGCACCAGCGCAACAGTCACCGCCTAAGCGAGATCCCATACCGGCTCTTCAATCGCAGCCTTTGTCGACCCAGCAGTTTCTCCCTCCTCCAAGTCGAAATAGATCCAAGACGCTGGAGAGCAAGAACTCAGACAAGGGCGACTTTTCCACATCAGTCTCGCCGGAGCCTAAAGGGCCTGCCGAAGAGTCTGCCTTACCAGACATCTCCTGCATCAACCGCAAAGCACCGTATTTGAAGGAAAGCTGTATTTCAATAGAGGCTGGATATGAACCGAAGCTATTCGATGTATGTGGTGACGTCGTGTGCGCTACCGGCAGCTTTACACGAGGCTGGAATACCTTGGATGGTGGAAAACTGTTCAGTCTTATACACAAGGAAGGGGTCAAAGCCACAGCCATAATTTTCAAACCGAACCTTGACCCTGACGCCGAAGATGATCAGATTTGGATCGGCATGAATTCTGGAGATATGATGGAAGTCGATGTCGCAACAGGTCGCATACTCTGTACCAAACCTGGTGCTCATGGACGGTACGAAATCAAAAAGGCTTACCGATACCGGAACCAAATTTGGACATTGGACGAGTCTGGATGCCTACATATCTGGGGCCCAGATGTCGACGGTACCCCCAATCTCAACAAGAATCCGACGCATACCCATAGAGTACCAACTGGTCATACTTGCTCGTTGGTGGCGGATGGCCAATTGTGGCATGTCGCAGGCAAAGCGATCCGCGTCTTTGATCCATGGTCTGCCGCATTTCAGGTTCTGGTGAAACCTCTGGTCACAGAGGGCACGGCTGACATTACGGCTGGAACAACAATGGATGCTCACCCTCGAAAGGTCTTCTTCGGCCATGTTGACGGGAAAGTCAGCATATATTGTACGAGAGACTACACGTGCCAGAAGGTTATCCATGTTAGTCAGTGCTCAATCAATACATTGGCAGCAGTGAGCGCAGATCTGTGGGTTGGTTACTCGACCGGCGTGGTCAGCATTTACGATACGAAAAAGTCTCCCTGGGTGACCAAGAAAGAATGGCAGGCGCACAATAACGGCATTCATCAGCTTAAAGCCGACGCCGCCGCGCCATATCGCATAGAGCGGGCGCAAGTGGTTTCTGTTGGAAACGACGGCATGGTCAAACTCTGGGATGGTTTTTTGCAGGAAGATAGGCTTGAAGCAAGCCTTGAATCGAACCAGACCAAGTTTTGCCAGTTTGATGAGCTGTCGCTCATGGTCATGACATGGAACGCGGGAGCTTCGACACCCCACAGCCTACGATACTCGAATGGCGATTCAAGCTTCTTTCAGGAATTCGTGCAGACGAGTGGCTCGCCAGACATTCTAGTTTTTGGCTTCCAAGAGCTGGTTGATCTCGAAGACAAGACTGCCACTGCCAAACGCTTTCTCAAGTCGAAAAAGACGGACACGGACAACATGGGTCACCACTATCGTGACTGGCAAGAGTTCTTGCGCAAAACATTGGACGACTATGCGCCGGAAAAGCCTCTATACCAAGAGCTATCTACTGAATGTCTTGTCGGTCTTTTTACGTGTATCTTTGTGAAGTCTTCGCTGCTTGGGCGCATCAAAATGGCAGACTTGCAGAGCGCCATGGTCAAGCGCGGCATGGGGGGTCTGCACGGAAACAAGGGCGCCATTGCCGTGCGGTTTCATATCGACGACAGTTCTCTGTGCTTTGTCAACTGCCATTTGGCTGCTGGTCAGACGGCGACTAAATCGCGGCATGAAGATATTACTCACATCTTGAAGGCCGAGTTGTTCAGAAAGCAGCTTGACGAATCAAAACGACAGAATTACTACCGCGGCGGGGGCGATGGTGACTTGATTGTAGATCACGAAATTTGCGTCATCAACGGTGACTTGAACTACAGAATCGATACCATGTCTCACGAGACGGTTGTTAGGGCGGTGAAGCAGAATAAACTTTCGAGGTTACTCGACCGCGACCAGCTACTGGTTGCTCGGCGGAGGACCCCTGCTTTTCAACTCCGCGCGTTTGAGGAGCTGCCGCTCACTTTTGCGCCGACTTATAAGTACGATGTCGGGACGGACCGCTACGATACCAGTGAAAAGCGGCGCAGTCCGGCATGGTGCGATCGGCTGCTGTACCGAGGCAACGGCAAGATTGAGCAACTCGATTACGGGCGGCACGAGGTTAAAATCAGCGACCATCGACCAGTGAGCGGAAATTTTAGGGTGCATGTGAAGAAAGTGGATGGTGGTAAACGGGAACAGGTCAAGATGGAGGCGCACAAGACACTCGAGGCTATGCGCCAGAATTATCTAGACGAAGCCAAGTAAGTCGATAATCGCTGAGCTTACCAGGGACTGACTGTTGCTAACACGCCGTGCAGGCTCAACTACTTGGTTGTAACGTGTGGATTGTCTGAGTCGGAGAGCAGGGAACATATACAAGATAGATTTGCAAGAAACAGCAGATAGACTAGAAAGTCGACGGCTTTGGTTTGAATAACGCAGGTATCGTATGGTAGGGTATCTGGAAGAGAGCATAGCGACTTGCGCATCCATCTCGACAGAGCTTTTACAGCGATGCAAAGCCAGCTATAGAATACAAATCACGGATTGCATGAGTGCGCGTTCAAGCTCGCACTTTTAACTACATGATGCACGTTTGAAGCAGCGCGGGGATTTCAAGTCTCGGGGATACTCGGGCTGGTTGGTGCAAGGCTGTGTCAGCCCAGAGTATCCCAGCTGGTTTTAAAATAGCAAGACGGAAACGTGGCAAGGGAACAGGGGCCACTTCTAATTGGCGGATTCGCGGACAAGACCCCCTAAGCCACGTTCTGGCATCGCAGGCTTGCTGGAAGATGAGAGAGGAGAGGAAGATGGGAGAGGAAGATGGAGACGAGAACAGTTCTGGACAAAGAGCATGGCGTGAGGTGGCATGGCCGAGGTGGGCGGTGCAAGAGAAGGATAGTAATATCTGACCCACGCAACCACTGGGGGTGGGCGGCGCAGGGACGTCACTGGGAGGGGGCAGATGCGTTAGCGCTTCTATTATTATCTAGGCTTGTATTTTAGATTTGAGGCCAAGAGAATAAGGAACGGTTGGGGTTTGCAAAGATGAAGAATTGCTTATAGAGAGGCTATTGAAGGGGTTGTTGCTGTTGGCAGCGGTAGGAGTAAAAGGTGCATGTTGCACAATGGCGCTTACAAAAATTACATGGGCAGTTTACATAGCCACCGACTTTGTGCTTCTGTGACTTATTGATCCGGACAGTGCCGTGCCGGGGACAGGGCAAAGAGCGGCTGGCCAAGGCAAGTCCCGAATGGGCAATGAATCGACACGTCGGTGGGGGGAGAGGAAAGCTGGATTACTGGTCCAGTATCATGTACGGATATCAACCAGTGCCATTGACGATTGGAGCGGCACTTTCTTCGTCAAGCTGCTAGCCCTTGTATCCGGGCGAAAGCCGCCAAGATGTTGATAATCAGCACTAGGCACCCCAAGAAGTGCCGGCCGGGCACACGCAATATGTTGATCTGGCTAGGGGCCCTTGTCGTTTGTGGATTTCTATTAAATAAGCAGTGAGGCCTCGCCATTCTGTTGCAGAGGGTTTTGGTCATTTTGTTTTCCCTTCTAGACACAGAACTTCTCTTGCCGGAACTAGTTCATTGCGCCTCGGGTTCGCGCCACTTATTGGAGATCGAGATCCAATACCAGGCGAACTGGCTCAATTCCACCCACATGAAGTACACCACACTCGCGGCCGCGGCGGCGACGACGACGAGCCTCGTCACCGCTGCCGGGGCCTATCGCCATGGCGGCAGTGAAACGGCCTGGACACCCGCCACGCAAACGCAGCCACCCGTCGCGGGCTTCACACTTCGACCTACGCCCGCGCTGCGCATACCGCGCGCGGGGCTTCTTATTCGAGAAGACGATGACGACGACGACGACGATGACGAGGATGGGCGTGGGAGAATCACACACGGCTCAGTCACGGCAACGAGCACGCCGACGGCAAGCGGCAGCGGTTCAGTGACGAGTGCGCCCAGGCCGTCGAATACCTGCGGCTGGGACAGAAATGGAGGTGAGCAAGTGCTGCTATGAAAAAAAAAAAAAAAAAAAGAAGAGGTTGTTCTGGGAGGGGAGTGCGCGGCTGGCTAACACGGCGGGAAACTTCTAGGTGGTTTCTACGCGTGCAGAGACTCGAGATCTTCATGCCAGTACACAAACGGCGGTGTAGGATGCTGCTCAGGAAATAACTGCAGAAAGATACCGAAGCAGTGCGTGGAGCGAAACAAGGAGTGCGACTCGGATGATAATGGCGGCACGCTCTGCTGGTAAGTTCTCGCCATGGGAGGCCTGGCTAAGGGGGTGGCGTTGTAATTAACGAGAAAACGTGTAGCCGCCAGTCTTCGGCCCCGGCATGCTACACATGGCTCATTTCAACGTCGACGGCTGGCCGCCAGGAAACGTATTCGATGCTCGGCTGCACCGACAAACCCGGCACCGGCACGCTCCTCCCCACAGACCCGGCCAGCGCCGGCTCCAGTTCCACTTCCAGCTCCGGCGGTGGTGGTGGTGGCGGCGGCGGCGGGAAAAGCAACACGGGCGCCATTGTCGGCGGCGTCATCGGCGGCATCCTCGCGCTGCTCCTCGTTCTTTTCTTCATCTGGTACGTCTTGCGGCAGCGACGGCGCGGCAAAGCCGAGCACGTAGTCGCAGATCGCAGCCTGCGCGACTCGACAATGTCGCACGCCTCATGGGCCGAAGAGCACGACAGCCGCAGCGGCGGTGGTGGTGTAGAAAAGTCGTACGAGGCGGTGCCGAGACGCAAGCCTGTGCCCGGCAGTGAGACGCAGGACAGTGGCTACACGGCGACGATGAGTCCGGCAACGACAACGACGACGACGACGGATCGGGGGTCGCCAAATGAGCACTTGGCGTACTCGGTGTCGAGCGCGAGCGGGACAATGGGAAGTCAAGGTGGCACGGGCGTCGTGTCGAGCTTGTCGACGGCGGCGCCACCGCCGCTCGCGGGTGTTGTGGAGGCGCCGGATACGGGGGTACCGCAGGATAGTGCGGCGGCGCCGGTCGAGGTGGCGGGCACGACGGTGACGCGGGAGACGATGCAGAACCGGGCGGAGCTTCCGTAGAATGGCGGCATGAATTTTTATTTTTGTTTTTTAAACGAGTTCCGGGACTTGTTGTGTGCATGCCCGCGAGGCATAGACTAGGCGGACACGAGACCATGATACCAAGTCGCACGACACAACGCGGCTTTTTAGCATTATACGCGAATTGATAGAATTGTGATTATGAGTTTACTTTCAATTTTATAATGACAAGCTATTATGCACTTTCTGCAGCCTCGAGCTTGGTATTCACGCTTACCAGGGTTGAACGCCGTCCCGAGTAATGGCCTTGCCAATGTCTCCATCTCTTGTTCCTTCGATTATGTCCTTGATGAAGCCGCCGCCGAGCGCAGGATCGCCAGCACCCATCTTCTTGTTGGCCTCTTGATCGCCACCGAGACGCGTTGCGAGAAATCCAGGCGAGACGGCCCAGGTCTTGACGCCGTCATCGCTGAGCATCCGATGCCATTCTCTAAACGGACCCATGTCAGCAGATGTATACTCTTGTTTTTTGAACCTGAGACAAAGGTAGGGGGATGTACCTCATCATCATGTTCAATCCAGTCTTGGCACAGCGGTACGAGGGCACCATTGTGCGCATCTGCGTCTTGGGCCAGCCCCTGTTGGAGGGCTTGTTGGTCGGCAAGTCGCCGTTTTCGGTACCGACGAGCGTCGACGTGCTGCTCGTGATGAACAAGAGTCGAGGGTCGTTGGATCGTAGCAGCAGCGGCGCAAAGGTATGCGTCATGACATGCGAGCTAGTGACGTTGATGTCCCAAGCCTTGCTCCAGCCTTCGCGGAGGGAAAGCTGGCCGCTGGCGACGGAAAAGTCGGGTAGGAGACCTTGAGATATTCATTATTAGCCGAGGACTGTTGTGGGAAAGCTTGCTTTTGCGGCGCACTTACCGGCATTGTTGACAAGAACGTCAATTCGACCGTATCGGCTCTGGATGAGGTCGGCAGCTTCCTCGATTGACTTGTCGGAAGAGACGTCGATTTCGAGTGGTATTACAATCGACACTGCAGACGGAAAGTCGCGTGTAATATCCTCGGCAGCGGCTTGCGCCTGCGCAAGCTTGCGGGCGGATAAGAGAATGTCGTAGCTGGCGTGCTGAGAGCCAACGAGGGCCTTGACAGCCTCGAGGCCAATGCCAGCAGCCGCGCCCGTAATTAACACAATCTTTCTATCTACCGTCATGATTTTTTCCGCGAAAATCAGAATGCAAAAAGTCAAAGCTACTGTTGAAGGAATTGAGACACGGAGCAGCGGCTATGTATTATAGTGCAAGATGTGTTCAACTAGCCAAGTTGGCTTGTAGCTACCTGGGCACGACCCCTCTTCTCTTGGTCTAAAGGATTGCATGGAGGCTAACTTGTAATGTAACCTCTCTGCTTACATTCGAGGCCAGGCTGCATGACGGCGGGTGGACGAAGGTACGGGCGTCGCGCCAATAAGGCTTGTCGATCGCAAAGTGCCGGCTTACTAGAGCTTTAGGCAACGGTGGGTGGGTGATTAGGGGATGACGGCAGCAAAAGACCGAAATGTTGGTTACTGGGATCCAATGAGACAACTTTGGGTTTCCCGCAGCATCTCGCGATGCTAGTCCAGTTTGCTAATAGCTAGTAAATATCGACTAACTAATCCGTAGTGGTGAGGGGGGGAGGAGGGGAACAGGGCGCATCGGGTCCACGTCAAGGCGGGCGCAACCCCGCCAATTCGGAAGAGGTCAAGAAGAGAAGCCGGTAAAGACGACGGGGAAAGGCTATGCGCGCCCGCGCCCGCTTCACCGGCGATCGGCGCTGCAGGGAAAAGCCATTTGTCTTGCCTTGGAGATGGGAACTGCCTGCTAGCTACCCTCGACGGGAGGGGGCAGTTGGATATGCGAGCGAGCGAGCTCCTGCATGCGACAACGGACGCTATCTGTGGCGTGTAGGAGTAGCTAGTTTACAGAACCTCAGCTAATCTCTTGACCGTACATGTGCATATGCACCTTTTTCATTCTTCACTTTCGTCGTCGACTAATCAGTGGGACAGGTCATGTAAGCTACTGACGACCCCTGCATTCCGTGACTTTTGTTTTTCTTTTTGCAAGTTGGTGCATCCTAGAAGGGAAATGGGGTAATGTGTGGTCGATTGAACGCTTTTTTTCTTCTTTTTTTTTTTTTTAAAAAAAAGGACTAATCAAGGCGGTAAGCGTGCCTTCAGAAACGCTTCATCTGGTGTTGACCCAAAGTCACCAACTAAATTGAGTGTTATGAACGAGTACGAATAAGGAGGGGGGGGCGGCCGAGAAAGGGGGGCAAAGGGTCCGGCGTTTTGGCTACCAACAATTAATTGGCTAGCTCATTCTCAACGCCACGAATCGGGTAAAAATCTTGAGTCTCAAGATTGAAGCTCCTTTGATGTTACCAGACGATACTCGTCGATAATTCCTCTGTGAGAGCCTTTTTACGCTGCCAAAACTGACAGCTGAGACTCTGTTCCCCTGGCATTGAGCAGGCTGCGCCCCACCCCGCCCAGCGTGAACAGAACTGGCATCCAGGGGGGCTTCACACGCGACCATCTCCTGCAGACGCAATTGAGCCTGCATTTACAGATAAAACCTATGATGAGCTCCCAAGATGGCAAGTCCGGGGCTACCGGTCCGAGAAAGACGCCCATTCTAGCTCCCACGACGGATAGCACGCCGCCGCCACGCGCCGAGCTTACCGCCGACCAGCAGGCCAAGTACGAGGCGCTCCTCACCAAGGCCAAGTCGTGGACCGAGGTAACCTGCGGCAACGACAAGGAAAGGTCCAAGTCGGGCCCCCTCCAGGACCGCGAGCGCGCCTGGCTGACGCGCGACTGCCTCCTGCGCTACCTCCGCGCGACCAAGTGGCACGTCGACGACGCCGGCAAGCGCGTGCAGGCCACCATGGCCTGGCGCCGCGAGTACGGCCTCGACGACTTTACGCCCGACTACATCTCGCCCGAGCAGGAGACGGGCAAGCAAATCATTGTCGGCTACGACAAGACGGGGCGTCCGTGCCAGTACCTGAACCCGGGACGGCAAAACACGGACGCGAGCCCGCGGCAGATTCACCACTTGTTTTACATGGTCGAGCGCGTGACGGACATGATGCCCGCAGGCGTCGAGCAGCTCAGCCTCATGATTAACTTCAAGCCGAGTAAGAAGAGGCAAAACACCAGCGTGCCCGTGTCAACGGCCCGCGAGGTGCTGCACATTCTCCAGAACCACTACCCAGAGCGTCTGGGCAAGGCCCTCATCATCAACGGTGTGTAAAGTCTTCTTCTTCTTCTTCTTCTTTTTCTTTTCTTTCTTTTTTTTTTTTTGCTTCCGAGGGTAGCGTGGCAGTTCAAGTACTAACATTGGAGGGGGCAACAGTGCCGTGGATCGTCTGGGGCTTCTTCAAAATCATTACGCCCTTTATCGACCCCGTCACCCGCGAAAAGCTAAAGTTCAACGAGGACATGAAGCAGTACGTCCCCGCCGAGCAGCTCTGGAGCGACGACTGGGCCGGCAAGATGGACTTTGAATACGACCACGCCACGTACTGGCCCGCCCTCAACGAGCTCTGCCAGCAGCGCCGCGCAGCCAGGTTGGCGCGCTGGGTCGCTGCTGGTCAAGTCATTGGCGAGTCCGAGGACTACCTCGCCGGCGGCACCGACACGAGCGTCACTGGCTTCGCGTACACGGCGGCGGCCAATGAGGGAGATGATGTTGGGCTGGGGGAGAAGATGGCGGCGGCGACTCTAGATGAAAAGGCGGCGCCCGCTGCAGAGGCGGAGCCGCAGGCTGCTGCGACGGCGTAGATTTTGATGGAAAGGGGTTTGTAAAGGCATTATTGGGGGGTTTGCTTATACACTCGAGCGTTTTCATATAACATGCACATGTATTTAGGATTGTCACACGCCGGGCACCGTCACAACGCCTTATTGGTGCAGCGTAGCCTGCGTAGGCTACCTCTTTGTACTTTCTAGCTGGCCGGTCATCCGGTCAAGGTTGACCGCCGGCAGAATCTTGACTTTTCGCCCTCACACTTTCCAGTGGGGAAACATTTGTCGTAATTAGAGGTTGAGATTAAAAAGCTTCAACTTGGTCTATATGTAATACCTATATAGCCAATGTATAAGTGCTGATCTTAACATTGCTGGAGTGATCAGCGGTTGTGAGTATTAAGGCAGTCAATTCTCATTGGCTGGGAGCCAGGACAGCCCCACTTTATTTTATATGGTAGCTCTTGTGTGTGGTTGCCTTCACACACACTGATGTGAAGGATAACCATCAACAAAACGAATACAGTCATTCCAACCCCCACGATGATCATCGTTGTTAAACCAACATCTTCACTATTCATAGAGACAGACTAAGACCTAATGTACACTAATGCACAAAGGAACATTTCGAACACCACCGAAAACGTGTCCGACCTTTGTGAACAGCGGTTTCAATCATCTGCCAGCGAAATGCCGCCTCTGCCTCACTGTACACAGGTGTCTGGGCTTCGCAAAGTACTACACCAACAAGGTACTCCAATAGAATACCGAATTAACTGAGCATTTTCCCTGCCGTACAATATCAGCTTAAACAGCCGGGGGATGACCAAGGCCAGGTATGACGAGAAATCAGTGGCCTGAAAGGTGTGGTCGGGTCGTCGTACCAGGCGCTTCGGCGGGCGCGCGACGCATTCACATGATAAATTTGTGACTACCCAAGGACAGGTTGCAGCCTACCTCTGGCAAAAACACTATTCTGAAAAGTTCCAACGAGAGTTTGGTTCAATATGTCGCTGTGAGGATTCCCACTTTCAAAGGTCATTTCACTGATGCTTCTCTAACCCAAAAATCTAGGATCGTGCTGGTAAACGGTGTTGGCGATGGGATTACACCTGCGGAAAGCCGAGAAGCCGCTCAGAAAACGGTACTTGCCCGAGATTTCCCTGGAGCGGACGTCGTGGTCTTCAACTCGGTCTATGATCAAGACTCTACCCCTGGATACGACTACTTCCTTCAGAAAGCTTTAGACGCTATTGAGAGCTTGCAGAATTTCATCGATCACTCAGGAGCAGGTTCTGACTCAACGAGGGACGGCGTTTTGCCAAAACGCATTGTCTTTGTTGCTCTCAACATTGGCGCCGCTCTTGTCAAGCAGGTATCAGTTAGCCCTACCTCTCCGGACTCTCAACCTCCCCAGCAACACTGTTTAATCTCTACTTGACAGATCCTACTGCTCGCCTCGGAAGATGTCAAGCATCACTGGATAGTGCTGCAGACTGTTGCGCTGGTACGTACCGAGTACTGTACCAGATAAATCCACCGCGATTGCTAACTTCTGGCCTCCAAGCACTTCGCTGAGTCGCCGTCGTACACCGATCCGGAGCTTTGGAGACGATTCTTTTCTCGCCTACTCTCAACAAATAAACTGTCCATTCTAGACCTTATCCCACATCTCGACGTACTGCCAAAGGCCCTAGCACATCTGGAAGTCCAATTTTCCGCCATCTCTGGAAGCTTCGACCAGAAGACGTACGATGGAACCAACGAGGGTGTATATGTAAGTGCATCAAAGCACTTTGTTCTTCTCTGTCGTGAGGATGTAGAAGTGCTCCCTAACAAGATATACGAGGTTCACAGTTGCCTGGTCAAGGCACCTGGAATTTCCAAGGAAACGGTTCAACGGCAGAAGACATACTCTGCGATATCAGGACGTCACTGACAAGATCCTCGATCCGTAAGTCGCCGCCTTTGGGACGAAAGAGCGGCACTGATAATATGTCTGAAACTAGGACTCGACTCCGGGTACTGTAATTTTCAGGGAATTCTTTCTAGCCTAGATGCAGCTGTCTGTCGTCTGAGTTTGGCCCCGCCATCCACAGGCCCGACAGCTTACGTCGAGAGCCATCCGTCCTTCAAGTCTTGGCTGAGCAGCCCTGGCTCGAGTATTCTTTCCGTCGAAGGGCCTCCAGGTTCCGATCACACGTGCCTCACATCTCATATCATGCGCTCTCTGCTACTCGTGTGCTCGGAGTCGAGGGCACTATTCTTGAGCTTCGATTTTCATCGTTGGGATGCACGACGGAACTCGGAACAATCTTTCGTTGTCTCAGCAATCCGGCAGCTTCTCACCCTGAGGCCCGAGTTCTACAACCGCGCTCGATATATTGTGGAGGCGTTTTCCAGCCGGCCAATCGTCTCGTCTCAGCAGCTCTGGAATCTCCTGCGCCATCTTCTGGCGATCCCGACTGAATCGTGCATATATCTTGTAGTGGACGCGGTAGACCAGTGCCGCGAACAAATTGCTGCAAAGCTCAGCAGCCTGGCAGCCTATGGGCCAATATCGGTGCCAGTTAGACTCATCGTGACAGCATCAAGCCCGATTGAGATGACACCGAGCATCCCTTTATATTCGATTTCGCTCGAGGAGGATAGTTGGAGAGATGCCATCCGGGATATGACGGCGGAGAGGGTCTCACGCATCACACTTTCGAGGCCAGTCTGGAAGGATTTCGAGCAATCCATTGTCGAGAAGCTCTGTGGTGGACACTATCACACGGACCATCACGTCACGTTGAACATAGAATTCCTTGAGCAACAATATCTTCCTTCAACAAGACTCGCCTTGAAGCAATACTTGTCGACATCCATGCTCCCCGCAGAGATGTTCAGTACTACTGTCAGCGGGTTGTTGGGGAATGCCGGAACCCGAGCGAGGCTGGCTCTCAACTGGATCTTGCATGCAGCGCGGCCACTCAGTATCTCAGAACTCGCGATAGCTCTGACGTTAGGACCCGGTCCTGAGGAAGTCGAAGCGGCGGAGAAGCTGACGTTCGACATGGTCGTCGAGAATGTCTCTTGGGACCTCATAAGGGATCTCGGTGATTGCTTGGGTCTCGCGGTCAAAATTGTCGGTGGCCGTATTATGCCGGTCCACCTCACATTTCGCAGCTATCTCGAGGCACACAGCGACCTTCTCGTCCCGAATTTCCATGGATATATGGCGGATCGTTGCCTCTCGTATTTATCACTATGTTTGAAGCAAGCACGTGATCGGCCCCTGGACCGAGAAAGTGATGCCATGGAACCAGACTCTGTCCGTGCTGCTCTGGCGTTTCGCGAGTACGCACTGCTTTATTGGATAGATCATTACGAACTCCAGAAGCCGGCTAGTGGTTCTCTTGACGACGAGGTATCGCGGTATCTTTCCCTCCTCGTGACTCACACCGACGCGGCTTACGGCCTTGGGGCTTGGAAGAAGAGATGCGGCCTAACGATGGGATGGAGAGAAGATGTCATAAGTGACCCCCTTTTCTTGGCGTCGCAGATTGGACTCGGCAGAATCGTACGCAATCTCATCCGGACTGCCGAACAGAAGACACCAGAACAGATCGGGAGAGCGATTAAAATTGCGGCAAGCGCAGGGAACTTGAACGTTGTCCGGGAGCTCCAGCAAAGTGCCCGGCCCGCCGATTTGGCGCTCGCAGCCTGTGCCGCTGCGGAATATGGGCATGCCGAGGTCCTTGAAGACATCATGGCAAACATGGATCCATCAGATGTTGTGGCTCTACTGTCGAGCCGCGGAGGTACAAGTCCATTGCTGCTGGCGGCTGCAAACGGTCACACGGCAGTAACTGAGATACTCTTAACAAGAGGATGCGACCTGCGGGCTGTCGACAGCTCCGGCAACACGGCGGTACATCTTGCGTCACGGTCCGGGGGTGCTGATACTCTGCGCGCCCTGAGAAGGGCTCGTCCTGACGAATTCAGGTCAGCTGCAGGTACTGCAAACTTGAAAGGGATGTACCCGTTACACCTCGCCTGCCTAGCTGGATTTGCCGACACATTTGCGCTTGTTTTTAGCGAATCACCCAAGGCTCTGGTCCATCAACCAAACGCCGCTTCCATGACTCCAATACACATCGCCGCGGAACTGGGTCACCTGCCGATCGTGCGGACGCTCATTTACGTTAGAAGCGCTCCTGATGCGGCAGGTACCTCAGTCTCGCTAATCGTTCCTGCGGCTCAGAATGGCCACTTGGCCCTTTTCCGCTGTCTAGTCGAGGATTTGCAAAAGTCTCACAACAACACGGCGGAAGCAGGAGCAGAGAGGAAAAACTTGGAATCTGCCTTGAATGTCGCCGTTGTTAATGGACACATTAGAATTGTGGAGCTTCTTTTAAAAGAGATCGGCGTCGTTCCCTCCCACCTCAAGCTGGCGGCTAGGGTTGGCCACCTGGACGTCTTGAAGGCCCTCGTCCGTCGTAATACGCCATTCGGTGGTTTCAGCGAGCAGTACCATGAAATTCTCGTCCTCGCCATAGAACAAGATCATGTCAATATTGTTCGGTATCTTGTCCAGGAGGGAGTCGCGCCCCTATGGATATGGAACGGTGATGAGAGTTCACTCCATTGGGCAGCTCGATTAGGGCGGGAATTCTGTCTTCGTGAGATACTTCGGAGGGCCGACCGCAACGCCATCTGTCGCAAGGACCGGAAATTGCGCACTCCTCTCGAGGTTGCTGCGGCATTCGGCCAGCTCGGAGCGTTCAAGTTGTTGCTGGAGTGCGAGAACAGACAGGCTTCCTCTGCGACACCAGCACCGCGCCGTTCTGTCAGAGCATTGATGCTAGCCATCAAGGCGCCCAAAGATCCCAGAAAGGTTGAATTAGTCAGTTATCTCCTTGACAACGGTTGGTCGGCCAAAATCGCCGACCGCAGTCAGGATACCCCGCTCCACGTAGCTGTTCAGTCTCACGGGGACGACATTGACCTAGTTCGGCTCATCCTTGAACGGGGTGCTGATCCCAACACCTGGGGCAAGAGGGGCGAGACGTCGCTGCACATAGCCTCACGCAACGGCCACGCGAGAGTTGTTCGACAGCTTCTGGTAAGTGGTGCCAATCCAAACCTGGTCGATAGTAGCGGGTTTACCTCGCTTCACATTGCGACCGAGAACGGTCTAGATCCTGTTGTTCGCGTCCTGCTTCGTCTCGAAGACGAAGGAGACGATGCTATGACCGACCCAGCATACGAAGCGGCGGACGTTGAGATCGAAACCCCTCGTGGCTGGAGGGCAATCCATTACGCTGTCAACAACTCGACGGTCGTTACTGCCACCCTGACCAAGTTGAGCCCCAAACCGAATTTGGAGGCCACACTTAGTGACACGGGAGCGACGCCTCTTATTCTCGCTGCCGAGCATGAAGACCATGACGTTTCAAGCCTCTTGCTCGCCGCGGGCGCCGACCCAGACGCATTGGGTGGCACATGGGGCTCTGCACTCCACGCCGCTGTGTGTAAGAACAATGAGAGTCTGGCTGAGCTTCTCTTCAGCTACAATGCCAGCCCGAACGTGATGAGCCGCCCATTTGGTACACCGCTCCACGCCGTCGGCCTTGACATGTGTGGCGATGAATCGGTGCGACTCCGTCTTGCAAAGCTTCTCCTTGAGCGAGGAGCTGGAATCGACACACCAGACTACCATGGCCGGACTCCGATAATGACGGCCGTTCAACCTAGACACGAGGAAATCATCGACATGTTTTTATGTTCGGGGGCTAACCCGGACTCGCTTGACGGCATGAGATCGTCGGCCCTGCATTATGCTGCCAGAAGCGGCCAGGCTGGTATCATCCGACGGCTACTAGAGGCTGATGCCAATGTTGACCTCCTTGATGGATGCGGACGAGGGGTGTTGTATGTCGTAGCTCTGTGCATGGACCCCGATGATGTCAGCGCCGGCGAGGTGTTTGATGCCGTGTTGGCCGCCTTGCCCGAGACCCGCAAGGCTGTTCATCTCTCTGCAGCTATGCCGGCCCTAATGAAGGCGGGCGCTGAAGAGCTTTTAGTGTCTATTTTGGATAAGAGAGGGGATGTAGACATCAACGTCCCCGACCGCAGCGGCTGGACGAGCCTAGACATTGCGAGATGCTACAACAAGTCGAGTAAAACGATTGACTGTCTGCAACGATTAGGAGCTGTGGAGGGAGTCGCGAAGCAGGAACCCACCAGACTATCTCTATATGATAGAAGCGCTTTGATCCTACTCTCGAACGATGGAATGTGCGCGCAGATCAAAGGTATCGTGCCGCCGCTACACCGAATCCCTTGTCGTGGTAGCATAACATCTAGCGGAGCTGACAGACAATTGCAGAGGAATTCACGAACACGCGCTACCAAATTATCGGAAGCGCTCGCGCGGATCACTGCGTTCCCATAGGCAAGGGTATCTACTACTTCGAGGTAGAAGTTCTTGACTGTGGGAGGGACAGGCAAGCCACCCCTTTTTTTTCACTTGATCCCCTCCTCTGCCTAGCCCTCTACCAAGTCTGCATAACTACCGCTAACTGACTCATCGTGTGCGGCCGCTATAGCGCGATTGCCGTCGGTCTGGTTCAGGAACACGCCCCGCTCGACGCCACGGTGGGATGGAGGTTTGGCTGTTGGGGCTACCACAGCGACGATGGCTCACTACTGAACGACGGCCGTAGCGAAGTAAGTGGTCCAGTATACGGTGCGGGCCAGGTGGTAGGCGTGGCGTATGACCCCCGCGGGAAGCGTCTTTGGTTCACTCTTGATGGAGAAAAAGCCGGTGAGTCTACTTTAGTCCTTGATGAAGCACAATGCATCGCGGGTGCTGCCCGAGGGTGGAGATGGTGGTTGGTGATGGGATGCAAAACCCTCGTACTGACATGCTGCAGGAAATGACTTTGAGAATGTGACTGGGCAACTGTACCCGGCAGTATCGCTCATGGCAAGCACAGAACCGGAAAGTGTAGGCCCAGCGAGGTTGAGGATCACTTTTCCATCCGAGGGGGTCGATGTGCAATTCAAGTATCAGCGGGAATCGACTCGAATCATCTAGGCCGATGGGTCCCATCATCCCTGTCCTGCCCGAAACGAGGCTAGGTGGGAGAGGCGGAAGAAATCACGGCCTTTTAAGCAGCCTCGCAGCTCTGGGAACCAAGACGAAGCCAGGGCCAGAGTTGGCACAGGCGGACAGCTGGCGCCCGCGAGGGGCATCACTGTGAACGCTGCCGGTGGGCCGATGAATCATGGGCAGTGCAGACAAGAGTACTGACACAGTCCTAGTTATTAGGATGGAATCCGCAAAAGATACTGGAAAGTGCATGACATTGCCGTGGCGGGTGACGCCTCGGCTGGCTGAGTCAGCCAACCCCTCATCAG